GCACATGCGCTCATGTTGGTCATTGATAATTTCTGGGGTTCCTATGAGATGATGACCTGTAGGTGGTACTTGGATGCTTTGGTTGGATTAGGGGTGGTACTTGGTCCAAAAAGTTTGAGAACCACTGCTCTACACGTAAATCGGCAGATAGTTTACTATTTTTAATTTGCTTAGTAGATGCCTTTATCCAAGATGACTTATAATTCAATTTTTTGTAGAAGAAACATGACATTTTCAATAATGATCATGCATAAACAGTAAGCTGACAAAATTAAATGAAAAAAAAAGCTGTGACACAAAATGAAACGTTAAAATCCAAGATCTGTCTACAGCTAGGATGGGCATCAAACAGCAAGACAAACAGCCTGCTGGTCTGCACTCAGTGTCTCCAGTAAGCAGGAACAACAAACAAACCACATAGCCAACCTGAGAGTCAAGGGCAAGGTCCCTGACATTACAAACTCACCAGCAGTGCCAGACTGATGTCTTACCTGGCTTGAGAAGAACACTGAAGAGGGGCAGAAGAAAGCAGGGGTCATACAGAGCACTCAGGTCCCCTATCCGCTTATCGGTGAACAATAGCTCCTCTTCATCCTGCAAGTCAGGAAAAGTACGACAGAACATCAGCTAACACTGAAAACCACAAACAACTTCACTGGGCAAAAGACCAGACAAGACTAAACAGAACTAACATCTGCCAGAAAAGAATAAAACATAACATATTCCCCACTAAAACCCAAAATTCTTATGACAAGCAAAATGCATCAGAAGATGATAAGATCTATGATAAGACAGAATACATTGTTGTCTTTATAGGGCTGAGCTGTGTTAATGGAAAAGTAAAATAACAAAAGGATGAAATGAGCAAATGATAAAGAAAAGGGTGATTTCTATTGTGTTCATATCACAAACATAAACAGCTACTAGAAATGTTTTCTTCTTCATGTCCAACTGTTTTTTTTTTCAAGCTGCGTGACATGAAATGTACTCACAGAATAAAACAGTGGACCTGGACACATCATTTATTTACCACATAAATATAGGTTCTCTTCACTTAATCGAGGGTGCTGACCTGTGTCGATGTGTTCTGCTGCTCTGAACAACAGCCTCCAACACAGGGAAGGCTTCAGGGGAAAATAAACGAGCTGTGTGCGAATGGCTTGTGCCCTCTAAACTGCAGTACCTGCGGAATGATTTGGCGTTGTTCAGGAAAGTGCAGCGCCGTGTGAAGCATTTTGTCTGGTTTCAGCAGAGCCAGGACATCCTGGGAGGTGGGCTGCTGCCACAGGGAGCTCCCTAGACTCCTGGAGGCTTTGTGGTGCTCCACGGCAGCAGGCCCCCACAGCAGAGACCTCGAGGAACAAAACCGTGACACGTGTTGGCCAACCTGCTGCCTCTTGGGAAGGCAAGACCCTCCCTTCCTGTCTTGCGACATTTCTGAGCTGTTGTGTATCACAGCATGTGACACACAACCTGTTAGCCCTGAAGATTTTAAACCATATTAGACCAAAACTCTGATGAACCTACTGATCACAAATTTCAAAACTGTCCATTTAAAGGTTTAATAGAGGTTTCTTCCATTTTATCAGTGAAAAAACAACATCTTAAATTGGGTTAATAATCTGAGGCCAGCAAGTGGGTTAAATTTCTTATTAACACCACACCTCAACCAGACCTCCTAATGCTTAGTCCTTATGGCAGATTTTAGGATTTCCATTAAGAAGTGAAATCATAAGACTGAATCTGTGACAGAAAGATAATTAAAATGTTTCAGAAAAGGAGTTTTCTTATAGGACAAATAGAGTCTGACACACCAGATTTGAGCTTGGACCACAATAATTGCCAAATATAACTGGGATTCCTCGAGAGCTGCCACACAATTGGTTCAGTACCACTATAGATGACTGGGCCAGATTCTTTGGTCAGCCAAGACGCAGACTCTTGGGCCGTGAGTGACAGAGTTTAGTTGAATTTTCTTTTTCAACTAAAACAAGCTTTAAAAATGCATGTTTAAAAAATAATACAAATAAGTAGAAAAAACTATTATACATTTTTTTATTCTTACACGAAATACTGCTATTTACACTTTTCAGTTTAGAAAACTGCTATCACTGTACTTGACAGTTTTCACTTGAGTTTTCAGAAGCCACTATTTGTCTCCGTTTCTCCATTTGCTCAGGTGAGAGGAGGACAGTATATAAGAAAACAGTTTCAAATGCTAAAAAATACTTAAGGAAGAACAGATGCTTCAAATACCTATTGAACTATTACCAAAAGTGAATAGTTCAATAGTGATACTTTTTCATTGAATTTGTGAGGTCCCAGTTCAAGTCCCATTCCTTCTATAGGTAACTGTCAAAGTAGCACAGATCTAGATGGCAAACTTACTGAAATTCAGCCAGACTGACACCATTTCTTTCATACTCCTGTAGTAGTTGTAACATTTTCTGGTCTGAAAAATAAACATTTGGAGATTATTTATATTATATATGTAGCACATTTACCTAAAATGAATTTGGGGAGCAACTCATGATTGCTCTCATAGTAATTTAGTATTATACATCACTATAAAGTCTTACTGTTTACTGTACACATACGTTTAATAACTCACTCCTAATCCTCAAATAAATAAATTACTAAAAGTACCTAATTCTGCCTCCTGTTAATATAATTAATTTAAGCTATTATTCCATGAGATACATTAATTGAGAATACATTCTGAGTTACAATGAAAAATACCTTGCTCATGGGTATATCACCAGTGTCCAATCTGGGATTTGAACCCACAACCCTCTGGTCTGGAGTCCAAAACCCTAAATAATACTAGACTGTGCTGCCATTAAATTAATGACTTTACAAATCTGGCTCTCCAAGACATATTTCTGTCAAGAGTTAAATGGATGAACTATACCACTATTAAATTGAATGAAACATGTGCTTTGATAAAAAGCTACTATTTTATTACAGCAATACTGTTAAACATGACAAAGATATAACTAGAAGTCCAATCATTAGTATATAAAACATCCAGGAGCCAGGAACAGGAAGAAGAAGGGAATCAAAATCCACACCAGGGAAGAGAGGATCTTTGAAGTTCCTTCACTTTTCCCTCAAAACTTCAGAAAAAGAGCTGTGTTTTCCTACCTGTGGTACTCAAAGTTGCTCCATACGCTCCCATAAGAACAGAAAAATGAGCACTGCTGCAAACACCAGGACACTTCTTTACCAGGGTAAGCAAGACAGTCACGAGGGCATCTGTGAATTCCCAAAGGAATAAAAAAATCACAATACTGAGCCACTTTTATTGTGTTTTAGGTATTCAGAACTGTTTTGCTTTTCATAACAATCCCCTTGTTATATAAAAAGCAAATTTTTAAATTGTGAATGGCCTGACCTCCATTTGAGTCCATTTTAACTCGAAAGACGGTTCTCGGTTCTAAACAACAGGACTAATAAACAAACGTTTATAGAGCTTGTAAACAATGAAAATCAACCAGAACTTGGGCTGCATTTTTATCCTTTAGAAAACAGATACAAATCATATCAAAATTGAAAGAAATGGTGTATGCAAAGGGTAGATATGGAAAAAAAGCATCTGATCGTTTATTAATTTTACAAATTAAAAAAAATATTCTAATTTCTATTCTGATACATTCTGTTGAAGTGAATCGGTAATAAAAAAGATAAAATGGCTATTTACCTTTCCAATTTCAGCATCTGACATGCTGTGATCTCTCCACTGCCTTCAGCATTAACACTGATCGGAGGAGCGATACAGCTCTCTCTGATGACACTGCTCACTCACAGGTGCCAGGGCACCTCAGTTCAAGGAGTGACCGTTAGGCTGGTCAGCTAAGGAAATCCCTGCCTACTCTAATCCACCAATCCAAAGCTCTGCTAAATGTACACACCACTTTGCCATTCCCAGCTACAGTTGGCCAAAAACATAGTCCAGGGTGGGCAAACTCGGGCTGGACTGATTGTTCAGTGATTTTTCAATGAACATGGAAGAGATGTAGCTGACAAATAAGGACAGATGAAAAAAAAAATTCTTATCAGTTAAATTTGTGAAGCCAGTACTTGTGCTTAAAATCTCAAGCCTTCGTCCAGAATGTCCTTTGATTTCACATCACAGTATATCTCTAACCTGTTGCTCAGTAGCACCTACAGGGGGCTCTGGGCTCCTGGGAGCTTGAATTGTTGTCAGTGAGAGCTCAACTAGTACTCTGCATCGCACTTTTGAGGCCATGGGGTTCACGGTCTGAAAAACCGACAGATCGGTCTGCATTTCTGACAAAAACATACAGATTCCTCTTTTCCCCTGCGCTGTACAGGACAAGGGTCATACCACTCAATCAAGTTGATTCTGGATGATTGGAGATAACAGATGGTGGGAGGTATAAATATTTTATACACAGGATATCCATCCATCCATTTTCTAAACGCTTCTTCCAATGCAGGGTCGCAGGGGAGATGAGGATACACCCTGGATAGGATGCCAGTCCCTCACAGGGCAAATACACTCTCGCATCTAAGGCAAATTAATCCACACAGAGGATATATATTTGTAAATTTCAGTCACCTTTTGTTCCATTTTGTTCCTCTTCTGCCGGCAGTAGAGTGGACAAAAATAATGAATGGCTTGTTACCATCATGTGAACTGTGCCCAATTCCACAAGATCTTTCGAAGAATCGATAGCCTCATATACCAGGACCAGCAGGTTATTCAGATTTTCTAAAAAGACCTGGTCTCTGTAGCGATACCTAGACAGTGAAACAGGAGGGAGCAGGAGTCCACATGAAATGTATTTTTAAACCCATTGAAACTGATGCTTTTAATAGTAGCACCATGCATGCAGATTGCAGGATACACAAAAAGATGTGTAGGATAGCTAAAATAACATTCCTTCTGAATTTATAAACAAGCAAACTTTTATGAATTCCAAATCAGATGGATAAAGATTTTCTCATTTCTTTTCACGTTAACTCCAAGTGTTCCAGACTAATTTAAAAGCCTTTGGCCTTAGTTCATAAAGTAGTTAAGTGACAAAATTTTAAATAGGAACCTTATTTTGACTTCTTAACTTGGGCACCTTAATAATTTCACATTCATATAATATCTTAATCTTAGTAAGGTCCTTCACTTTTGTCTCTGTGTGCTATATATGTCCGGAGAATGTATATAATAAAGATACCAAAATAGCTTACTTCAGCCCAGTCTTCACAAAGCTGTTCCAGTCCGATGCAGTGACCTGTTTGACAGACCCCTGTATGACAAGCACAGACCTTATTGTAGGATAAATAAAGCACAAAGTTTTAACACTGGTCTTGACACTTCACTTCTTCAATAAATTTGCAATGGTTTCGCAATTTAGATTCTCCCATTTGCTTCTCAATTTGGCTCACTACTGTAACCCTACACAGCACTAAGATAAAGGCAAACCATGGACACACTACTTTCACAGAGAACAGGATCACTCCAGATAGAGAGTGCTTCTGCACTCTTGAATATCATAGCTCTTCCAAAACAGACAGGAAGCAATGGTTATGAATAGGACATTCCCTAGTTAGGAACAAATAAAGGTTTATTCCATGCTGAAAAGAGAAGAAAAGAAACACAATGTTACGGTTGTGGAGCCTTCTTCCGCTGAACTTTACTTGTTTACTTTACTTGATGCAGCTACCTACTTGAACTACATTCCCTAGTTACTCTACACAGCACTTGACATCTGTAAAATTGGCCTTTGAACCTCCTTCCCGTAAAGAAAATAAATTGGACAAAGCCTAAGGCAGGCATTCTAACTGATGGGAAGCAAAATGATATTTAAACTCTGTGAAAGTGCTTTTAAAAGCAAAAGTAGGAGGCTCGTCTTAACCCAAAGGGTTGTGGGAGTACCAATTAATGACTAACTTCAAAAGGGCCAGAGAGCTTGAATGGCCTCTTCTTGTATGTAATGTTTCTTATGGGCTCAATAATGGGTTGAGAAGTAGGCAAATTTCAGGCTGCAAACAAACCACACATGACACAGGTCTCACACACTAATTCACATAAATAAAGCTAGTAGCCTTGTTTATTACAGCCCTGAAAACACCCCCAAGACTGACTCTAATCCAGACAGCTGGCTACTTACATGCACCAAACACTATTATAACACGTGGTTTTGGAATTCAGCTAGGACTATAGGATTTGATATATGATTTGTGTGGAAACAAACTATATACCAGGAGTCTTTGGAGCTGCTGCAGCATCTTCTCTTCCTTCTCCTGCACGGCTTGCTCCTGCTCTTTGTATTTGGTGTATGATGCCTTCAGCCACTTAAAAGATGCTGTTAGCAGAGATCTCTTCCAGCTGGCCTGCGTCTGTGGAGCTCCAGCAAGCCCTTCGGTAATGGAATCCACCAGCATCCACCTGCCAAACACAAAACAGGCTCATGTAACCAGCCCTTATCTGCAACAGGTCACACACAGATTGAATCGCATTCACTTTTCAAAGTAGAACTGATAGGCATGCACAATATGATCAAAAGCCATGATATGATATTATATGTGATATAAGCCAGCAGCCATATCACCTTGCAACTCACAACTGGCAACCCACTGAAGCTAAGCAGGTGTGAGCCTGGTCAGTACCTGGATTGGAGACCTCCTGAGAAAGCTAAGGTTGCTGCTGGAAGAGGTGTCAGTGGGGCCAGCAGGGGGCGCTCGCTCTGCGGTGCATGTGGGTCCTAATGCCCCAGTATAGTGATGGGGATACTATACTGTAAAAAGGCACCATCCTTTGGAGATACAGGCCAAGATAAATACACATACAAAAAAGCAGCCATGGCACAACATACTTACTGGTGTGCTTACAATGTAAAAGCACAGCAGGTCTGGAGTATAATCTGAAATTGTGATGCCTGAAGGACCATTCTAAATCACAGGAATCTGCCATTTCTTTCTTTAGACTTATTCCAGCACAAACTTCACTTTTCACACAGGACGGTACGACTTCTCAACTAATTGGAATTACACAGGTAAAAGGTGCCCTTAGTAACGTTTTCACAAAAGTGGAAAAGTCTCTGCAAGTTTTGCTGGCTTGGACACCAAATGACCAGTATACCTTTCAAAACTGTCCACGCTCTCTAGGAGAGAAGAGAGCCGGTCAGCGGCACCGGCCAAGTCTTCCACCTGGGCCGCAAGCTTGATCAGGCCGGAGAGAACATCCACCTGCAAGGCCAGAGCCTGAGCTGGACTGCCAGACAGCACCATGTCCAACAGCTTCACCAGCAAAGCTTCTTTGAGATCTCTCAGCACTGCCGCATGGACTGCACAGGAGGAACAGAAACAGCAAGGGACAAGAATATTTCTACACTGCAAATCTCTATAGCACCAATAGTTTAATTAACACCACTGTTAAAAGGTTGCGTGGTAAAAGCATTCAGATCAGGACGTCTGCTCATAAAAAACGGAGGAATTGAGAGGACAATTTCACTGGACGTGGCTGCAAGCACCCTTTAACCTCTCCAAACCAAAAAAAGTCAACAGGGTTAAGGGTAAGATGTAAGACCTCCATAAAACTGAACTAGGCTGTGAAAGATGTTAGGTCTTAAACAGACTATTGGGTAACTGTTCAAATGCTCTGGCTCCGTAACAATTACAGCCCAGTGCAGCCAGTGGAGGGCGCTCATCCTGCTGTCTGTGTGGGTTCTAATGCCCCAGTATAGTAATGGGGACACTATACTGTAAAAAGGTGCCGTCATTCGTATCAGACGTAAAACCGAGGTCCTGACTCTCTGTGGTCATTAAAAATCCCAGGGGGGTTCTCAAAAAGGGTAAGGGTGTTACCCTGGTGTCCTGGCCAAGTTTCCCATTGGCCTTTACCAATCATGGCCTACTAATGGCCTCTGTTCTCCTTCCCACTGATAGCTGGTGTGTGGTGAGCCTTTGCATCATCCAGGTACACTGGTGGTGGTGGAGGGGAGTCCCCATTACCTATAAAGCGCTTTGAGTGGAGTGTCGAGAAAAGTGCTACTGTATATAGTTGTAAGGAATTATTATTATTACCGTTACATCTCCAGCCCACTGGTGGAATCAACACAGGGTGGTCTGAGAAACAGTTTCAGTTGCACTCACTAGGTTTCAACACGCATGATGAGCACAGGAGGATAATTTACTTTGGGGAAAAAAAAATGTCATACCTTCCTTGGGCCTCATGGGGTCTTGGCAGCTTGGCATTTCCAGGTACACTTTGACAAGGGGAAGAAATGCCTCAAAGTGTTTCTCCACTTGCTTCATGCTGCCTGGCTCCAGGCACCACAGCTCGAACCGCAGACGATGTGTTGCACAGGTCTGGAGCAGCAAGGCCCCGATGGCCTGGCAGGTGTGGGTCAGGCGCTGGAGGCAGTATATGAGAATGTCGGTTTGTACCAGTTTAGAGCAGACAGGCTCAGTCTGCAGGGCCTTCAGCAGAAATATCTCCAGGGGCTCACTGCAGCACGACAACAGCAGCGTTCCCAGGCCTCTGAAGTGCTCGTGCGACACAAACACGGAGTCCTCCTGGGAGCTCTCAGTTAAGACCTGAAGCGCGCTCTGGGCGTACACACTAAGCTCCTCTGGGAAGCCATGCTTGCCAGCTACAACCAGAAACTCTTGTGGGAGAAGAAGTATAGCTGAAACAATTTCCTTGAGTCTCGCAGGCTCCATGTATTTATGAAACTCCATTAATCCTTCTATTGGGTGAGATCTCTTGTTTGTTCTTCTTGCCAAACTCTTCAGCTTTGCTGTTTCCATCTCTTTTAAAACTGCCTTTTCAATGCCTGCTAAATACTTGCTGATGAGGTCAAGGCTACCTAGGTTTTCCATCAGCTGGGCAGTTAGCTTCAGAAGGCTGAGGATATTGGAGCTGATTTGTGTGCACAGCTTTTTGGATTTGATGGGGTTGAGATTGTGGGGTGGCAGTGACTCCAACTCTACAGCTAGGAACCACTGCTCCAGAGTTGGATGACTGAAAATGGATTTGAGCACAGCTCCCAGCACCTGAAAGCCAGAAATAACAAAAAACTGTTATTGTGAGCACTGTCAATCTTGTAATCCTAAACATTTATATTGTAATTCATTTACTTCTTTAAGAGACCCTAGGATTTTGCAAAGGGAGATCTGAGGATAGCGTAAATCTTTCTTAGGCCATCTTGATAAAAAAGCTTACTAAAAGCAAAGATAAGTCTACAGTCTACAAAAAGAGATTAATATTCTTTTGTTATTTTTGTTAAAATGTATTAATGTCAGGTTTCCAGGTTTATCCATTAACCAATAAATTAATCCATTATCTTAGTAATTTAATTTTGGTTTGTGGACCAGTCAGTCTGTCAGTCTGCTTGCAAATTTGGCATAATACCACATTCCCAGGGCTTGTGACAAAGTTTCATAGGAATAATTTACTCCTTAAGTACACAACTCCAAGGCCAACTCTAACTCCATGCAGCAACATCTATAAATCTTTAAAAACTATTAACATCCTCAGGCTCAGAAGAACAGCTGAAACAGTTGAATTAAGCAAACAGTTCAGTCACATTATTAAGAACACATGTGTTTAGAGATTGTCTAATGAATTGTTCCAGAGTTATGTTTCACTGTATATCGACACCTCACTGAAAGCTAAGATCACAATTCCCGATACTTGAATTTATGTTAGGTAAACAAAACCATCCATTAACGCCCTTTGCCTTAGGTATCTGTCTCACTGTCTTTGGAAAAACAAATGCTCCATAGGATCAAGCACCAAACATGGAGAGACCTACCAGATCTTTCTCTGCTTTTTCATCCTGAGCTGTATTCACATCAACAAAAAGGTCAGATTCGTCCTGGGAATTCGAAGAAACAGCCTCACCGGTTTCTTCCAAGCACTGAAGTCTATTAATTAAGGTTCTTAGCAGGTCCATGTAGACATTCAGTAATACGATTCCGGTGTCTTTTGAAAACTGAAGATAAATCAGAATACTTTAGCTCTAGGATAAATCCAGTACGATTACTTAGAAAACATAAGAGCACCATCCAGATTTCTGTTCTTTCTAGTAACAGGATGAATAAGGAGCAATGTTTTAGGCTTTAATTATAAGTTTAATGTGCAAAAAAAACAAAAAAAGACTAAAAAGTACCATTAATCCTAAAACAATATTTAAAAATATAAAAATAATTTGCTATCATCATTGTCAAAGTCAAGTTATATACACATTACATGTTGACAGGTATGAAAAGTCTTAGACACTTGGACTGAAATGGTATTACTCTTCCTTTCTTCACTGTAACACCTTGGGGCAGTTAGCTGTATTACTGCTGTATTACTAAGGAGCTAAGGGGTATGTTCGCTCTTGCTGAACAGTGTTAGCACTGAGTAACAAGACAGTTGCATCAATTAAGAGTTTTCTGTAACATGCAAATCTAGTCAGATCTGTCCTCTTAGAGCAAGGCAGTACCTGAGGCTACCAGCTAACAGTATGGAGTGTTCTTAGCCAAGATGGGCTTTTGACATAAAACACTGCATAATGTAGCCTGCCTATTGAACACACCTTCTTACTGTAGCTTGCCTTAAAGAAAATACTAAGTTGAGTCCTCTCTTATGTAACGGCAGATGAAATATTCATTGTCCTTCTGGCGTGGTGGGGAAGGAGATGTAGATCCAGGCAAAAGAACTTACCATTCCGAAGTTGTCCACACAGGTTTTTATGTAGAGCAGAACATGTTTCACAGCCACGGGAAGGTCACTGGTGTGAAGCTTGGAGACAGCACTTTCAACGCTCTCCTTGAAAGAGTCTTGCAGCATGTAGGTGGCTCCTCTGCTGTAGGCTGCCTTCATCAAACAGGAAAATGAGCCAGGCGCAGAGGGGGGATCAGGAGACGGGAAGTCTGATGATTTAAACTTGTTTGGGGGGGTGGGGGGGAAGGGGGCAAAGAAACAAAAATGAAGAGAATGAATGCCCTGAAATTTAGAGGCTGTCATGATTTTCATTGTCATGAAACATAAAAAAATTAAAGGAAGGTGATATGCTTAGAAGAAAAGGTATAATCTGTAAAGAAAAGCAAAGTACATAATCTGTCCATTTGGTTTTATAAAAAAGCACATTAAAATCCTTAACAATCTAAACCCAGTCCAATCTATAGTAAAAAAAAAAGAAATGCAATACATTGTCTATATTAAATTTAGTTTTCTTTGGATTGCAGCCAGGCAGCGCAGCAGTGCAGTGGTCGGCATTGGTGCCTCACAGAGCTTGGGTGCTATCAGTGTGGAGTTTGTATGTTCTCCCTGTGTTCAAATGGGTTTCCTCCAGGTGGTTCAATTTCCTCACACAGTCCAAAAACAAACTGGTCGGTTAAACAAACTGGTGTCTGGGAAAACTGGCTCTGGTGTGGGTGTGTGCATGTCTGTTTGTGCTCTGCGATGGACTGACGTCATGTCCATGGTGTACCCTGCCTTGTGCCAGTTGCTAGCTGCTAGCTGGGATGGGCTTTAGCTCCCCCATGAGCCTGCACTGGAAGAAATGGTTAAAAAATTGATGGATTACAGTTCCTTGAAAAGGCCTCTGATCCTTGAAGGACTGGGGAGGCTGTGCTTTCTGTGCTACTACACCAAGGCTGTGGAATGATCTCCCTGCAAAAACAGACTTTACAAGCCTGTTGGCACTCTCAAACAACCCTGTCCCAAAAAATACTTTAGTACAGCGCCTTCTGATTCTGTGTTTATTAGATAAAATTATTGTGTATTAATATGTATACATGTATGTGATTTTTGCTTTTCCTTTGTTTTGTTTTAAAGTTCCCTGTGATGATGTGTCATCAAAGGCGCAATATAAAATAAAGATTATCATCAATGAAGCATCGTGACCGAAAAATTACACCCCACAATTCACCACAATGGAATTGTGGGGTGTCACATGGAATGAAAAAGGACATGGATGTGTTTAGCAGCAGTACTTTACCCCCCCTTACCAGCTCCTCCCTGGCCTGAGGGGGTATCCAGAGCGAGTAGTAGCGGTAAAACTCCACGATGGCAGGAGGTGTGGCTGTTGAGTCTTCAGCGGACACCAGTTCTTTGTCATACTGCTGCAGAGCCAGGCAGAGAGGCAGCGGGTCCCTCTGGGAGTGCAGCACATCCGACAGGACAGCAATGAGGAACTCGGGGACCACACCGTGCATACCTGGGGAGGGCACGAACAAGGAATCTCCTCAGCGGTCCTTGCTGACCCTTTTCATATTGGACTCAAAACCACAGGCACCAGACTCTCTCTAGGTGTGTGGTCGGAGGGTCACAATTACCAGTCTGAGAAATATTAAAGCAGAAGCCCAATTCTTTGTACACATTTGACTCAGAAAAGCTTGTGCATAGATGAATCAACATTATAAAACGGCAAAAGACAGTAATGCATGAGGAACTAGGAATGACTGGGCAACATGGCTAGTTAAAGCTATTTTCTGTTTCTTTCAAATCAGGTTTCGGGGGAACCGGAGCCTATCACAGCAGCTACGGTCAGCAGCCACCATACCAGTATGTTTTGGACTTTGGAGGAAACACAGGGAGAACATACATAGAACTCCACAGTCCAGAATTGAACCCAGGGCCCAGCATTGTGAGGCAGCAATGCTAACCACTGCGACATTGTGCTGCCAATAGCAAGTTTGTGATTAAAATAATTAAAATGACTAAATAACAAGCAGTTTAAGAGATAGAACAAAGCAGACAATGTAATTTGTTGAGTCAAATGGGAAACTGGGGGGAAAGCTCAAAGCTTACGCTGAACTCTCTCTGCATTTACCTTATACAGAGGTTACATACATGCAGTCTTGCCAGTTGATGGTTAGCAGTCAGTGCAATGCATTTATCCATTGATAAATGGATAACAAACCTTACTGCAGTCTAGATATTGGATGCCAGCAAACAGTTAGCAAAACCAACGTCCTTATGAATTCCATCAAAATAAACCAGCAAATGTCTTGTGCGTTAACAGGTTTTCTACAAAAAGTCTTCTGATGAAAGCCCTGTAAAAGTGAGAGGATTTGATATCAACCCTCAAAGTCAACCCAGAAGTCTACTTATGGACAGATACTTCAGGGGACAAGTGGAAACTAAAGCAATGAGAAATCGGGAATGAAATCAGGAGAATTTTCAACCTTCAAGAAAAGGATGGAATAGATTCTTGGATCAATAAGCTAAGGTTGCTCTAAACAAATGTTAGTGGGACCAGTAGGGGGCGCTCAACCTGCAGTCTGTGTGGATCCTAATGCCCCAGTATAGTAACTGGGACACTATACTGTAAAAAGGGACCATCCTTAAAATGAGAAGTAAAACAGAGCTCCTGACTCTCAGTGGTCATTAAAAATTCCAGGGTGTTTCTTGAAAAGAGGAAGGGTGTTAACCTTGAGTCCTGGTCAAATTTCCCCCTGGCCTTTACCAGTCATGGCCTCCTATTAATCCCCATCTATGAACTGGGTTCATCACTCTGCTCTCCTCCCCACTGAAAGCTTGTGTGTGGCGAGGGTACTGGTGCACCATGGCTGCCGCTGCACGATCCAGCTGGGGCTACAGACTGGTGGTAATAGAAGGGAGCCCCCACTGCCTATAAAGCACTTTGAGCGGAGACTCCAGAAAAGCGTTATACAAGTATAAGGAATTATTATTTTACCATGTTCCTTTTCAGAGATTGCTGGCAACCTGTTTCTGGCTTCCAGTGCTGCTGGGACCAGGGCACTGAAAGGGAAGGTTTGCAGGATGAGATCTTCATTAAGAGCTGACCCCAGCTCTTCACACTCCCCCTCACTGCCCTCCATTATCACGTCCACCATGTCCAGCACATCTGAAAAACAGGAGCAGGTGCTTAAAACCGCTGTCATCCTCCACATTTGCCAGCAGCTCAGAAAAACCAAGCCATGTGCCGTCACAATTTGACAACTGCCTCAGTCTCATTTTTTTTTAACAGGCCTCCCAGAGCAAGTAAAACAGAAACATCTGTAGCATTCCGAAGGGTTTCAATAAAATTGCATTACTGTTACTGTTTCTAATTACTGTTCCAAGGTATGGCCACTGTCATACAATGGCAATGCCAATGGCTGTCTTATTCACACAGAAACTGAATTCATTTCTGAAATGGGGTCTGGTGCACTAAAAGACTGTTAAATTCACCTAGGGGCAGGCTGTATTATGTACAAACTTTCTCCTGTACACCTCCTTCGTGGGGTATCTAAGACTCAACATACAGTACATAAAATTGACTTGACATAATAATCTCCCATACTGTAGGTCCCATAATCACATTTTTTTTTAAGTTTAAGGAAAGTTTATGCTGCAGTAATGTGGTCCTCGCCAGCAACCACCTGGGCTCCATTTTGTGCTCAGTCTCTCTTTGTTCATTTGCATCATCCCTCTCTCATTTCTTTTTCTCCAGCAATGCATTTATTATTTACTGTATATATTTAAGAGTAAGCTATATTTGGTGTGTATGTTAAAGGGTTTTTCATGAATGGCAATAATCTGTACATGCTCATGCAATGGCTAAGAAACGGTAACTTCAGACCCAAGAAAATTAGGGTTACATAAAGACTTGGCACAACAGAGTGGGTGTATTTACTAAGGTAATGATTATTCATAATATAATGTACAGTGCTTTATGAATGCAAGCAGTTATTATTACTGAACAGTATGTCCCCTGTTTCTTTTACCTTTATTCACTCTTTAACTGAAATATTCTCTCCTTGACCCTTTCTGTGACACAGTACTGTTGTTCCTACAGGCATCACTACTTGTTCCTACTTAATCTATTGTCTTATCTATATACACTGCCTAGTGTCAGCATTCCTTATTTTTCTTTCCCACATGCTGAGACACCCAGTGAGGCAAATGCCATTTAGCCTCCACAGAATAACCCTCATTTTAACTGAGAGATATTTGGCATTTGCCTGAATTAGTGGTCATTAAAATTACTGATGAGGTGGCACTGCATGATACTTTTGTTCACCGTGCTCAAACCAGTAGGACATCAGCCACTAGCAGTACCTTTTGTAAATAATCTAGTAGGGCTATACAATGTGGGGCAAAGGCACTTACATCACACAAAGCATGGCTTCAGCTTGCACTAAATGAAGTGTGGTGAATGTCACAATTGTCCCTTCAGAGCTTCTTATTGGATTTGAAGTCTTGCTAAAAGAGTTGCATACATTAGAAAAATCACAAAAAAGTATTTGTCAAAGCCAGGCACCCGCCATTCACCAAAACCTTCTTGGCATATTTCTTAGTTCTTCATGTGCTTCCCAAGGCAATAATGAAGCCTCTGGAAAGTCACAAATTCAAAATGTTGTTTTAAAACTAATCATGAGAACCACATGAAAACAGATCATTTTTTCCCAGCAGCTTGCCATTTGTTCCCCCCAAGACTGTGCTTTTAGATCAAAAGTGTGATAAGAGACCACTCCTGCAGACCCAGCTTATTTATTTACTGTTGTTCACTGCTTCACAGAAATGCTCACCGTCAATGTGCGAAACAGGGATACTGGCGGCATCTCCTTCCTGGCCTGTCAGGTTGGCCTGCAGGTAACTTGCCTCCTGAACAAGACTTGCTGCCTTGTCCGTGTACAGGTAGGGGTTTGACACAAGCTTCACGAGAACCTGTGGCAACAGACAGCTGGCTCAGTAGTGCAAAGATAACTGTGGACACCAGCTACAAATGAGACACGACCCATCTGTTTTGTACTTAGTAGCAAATTGATTGCAGGATCGATTTATTGTTTACTGTAGTCTACTGAAGAAGGCTCCACAGTTGAAATGTTGTGTTTCTTCTCTTTTCAACATTGTTTACTGTATATTTTTAAGAGGCATGCTATATTTGGTGTTTAATTATTCTAATTAAAGGGTTTTAAAACATGTCTTGAAAAACGCCAGGGTATATATGCACTGCCCACCACTGACTGAGATGGAACAAAACAGTTAACAACACTCTTCACCTCAGCGTATCAAACACCCACTGATTCTACAAGTACTTTAATCATTTGTGGTCTCTTTTTCTTACCCATGGAAACCTATAACATTCAACTAAATAGAAGTGCACTTCAAAACAAGAACAGCAGGCACTTTATCCAGAGAGTTGTAGGTCTAAGGAAGAAGCTGCCCAGACATGTTGTTGGAAACCAATGTCCTGGATTCTTTGAAGAAACACTGAATGAGATACCTAGATCAATAAGCTTCTAAGTACCAGACAGTCTAGACTGGCTGAATGGCCTCCTCTTGTTTGCAACTTTTCTTATGCTCTTAATCTGCTACGTTGATACAAAACTATGATGTGATACTTACATATTTTTGCTACGAATTTCAAGTGAAGGTCTAAACAGTCTGCTGTACATTATTCACTTCTAGAAATAATTTTTCACAATGTGAAAAATGTATTAACAATCATTTGTGTCATGTGAAGAGATGAGAAGCCCGATTTGTAACTTTTATCTTTGCCCCAGAGATTGTTTTCCACCCAGAAAGAAAGAAAACAGGGATGAAATCATTAGCCTTGGGCTGCTGCTGGCAGCCAGAATGAGCCTCAGGCCAACACTTGAATTCAGCCTCCTCACCCTTTCCAGGAACTGGATCACTGTTTCCTGCTCAGACTGCTGCACAAGAGCGAGGTGATCCAGCCACAGCTCCAGCTCCTGCCATGTGTACTCAAACACACCGCTGTCCTTCAACACCTGCCGTTCACAAAGCGCAAAAGATACAAACAAGAAAACCATGTCAGAACACACTAAATATGGAAAGGACACACAAAAAGAACTGCTGAACAGAATCTGTCAGGATAGCTAAAGACATTCACACTGACTCATCAATGTCTTCTTTCAGACTGGTCATGCAGTAAGAGGTGCTGAATTAAGACTTATGCAATGGAAAGACTTAATTTAAAATACTATACCCAGTGGTCTGTAATCTTTATCCAAGACTATTGTAAAGTTTTTTACAGCAGCATGGTTGCTGCCCTTAATGCTGTGAAGCGGTACTAGTAGACCAGCAGGTGACAATCTAAAGTCTACCACCCATCATTTGTTAAACCATACTTACAATGGCTATCAAAAATATTCACTCCCCTTGGACTTTTTAACATTTTATTGTGTTTCAATATGGAGTCATAATGTATTAAACTGGGAGGTTTTTGCCACTGATTGACAGAAAACATTGTATAGAGTGTCAAAGTGAAAACAGAATTCTACAGAGTCAATATTTGGTAGAGTCATGTTTGGCAGAAATTATAGTCATGAGTTTATTTGGATACATTTCTACCAGCTTTCCACATCTGGACACTGCAATATATGCCTATTCTTCTCTGCAAAATAGCTCAAACTCCCTCAGGTTGGATGGGAAAAGTTGAACAGACAGCAATTTTCATCTCCCGAGACAGATTCTTAATTGGATTGAGGTCCAGGCTTTGATGGACCCCCTCCAGAACATTGACCGTTTTCTTTTTGAGTCACTCCAGTGTGGCTTCGCCTGTGTTTTGGGTCATTGTCCTGCTGGAAAATGAATCTTCTCCCTAATCCCATGTCTCTTGCCGACTGCAGCAGGTCTTCCTCCAGGATTTCTTTGTACTTTCCTGCATTCATTTTTCCTTATATCTTCACAAGTCTTTCAGGCCCTGATGCAGCAAAGCATCTCCATAGCATGATACTGCCACTACCACGCTTCACAGTAGTGCTCTCAGGATTATGTTCACGCTTGCACCAAACATAATGCTTACCTTTGGGAGAAAAAAGTTAATTTTGGTCTTATCAGACCATAGAATCCTCTTTCACTTTGGTCTCAGAGTTTCCCACATGCTTTCTGGCAAAGTATAGTTGAGATTTGATGTAAGTTTTTTTTGTCACTCTCCCAGAAGTACTTTGGAAGGTCCTTTGTTTTCATGATGTAGTTGTTGGTGTTGGGAGTTTTACTAATCAGCTGTAGGACCTCCCAGAGACTGGTATATTTATCCTGAACTCATGTGAAGCACCCTTATTGCACACAGGTGGACTTCATTCAACAAATTATCTGACTTCTAAAAACATTTGGATGCATCAGAGCCTATTTAGGTGTGTCATAGTAAAAGGGGTGAATACTTATGCAATCACTTATTTTCTGTTTAATGTTTATTTTTAAAATTAGTTTTCAATTTGATATAATATAGAGTATTTGTGCTTATCAATGGCAAAAAAAAGTCTCAAATCAATACATTGTGATTCACAATTGTAACACAGTAAAACATGAAAAAGCCCAAAGGGGGTGAATACTTCTGATATCCCACTGCATCACCTACATGTTTCTGAAGCTTACTGGCCACTTATTTGTCCTATTAGGTGGCACTAAAGACTCCAGGTAAATAAATGGAGTAGAAGACAATGGTGCCACTGCTGTTTTCTGCTTCTGTGTGCCTGAGCAACATCAGTGTAAGTGTGAAGTATCGGACAGTTACCTTCACTACCAGCATGCGTGTTGAGGTCTTCAGGTGAGTATTACTACTGGTCACAAACATTTTCAGCAGCAAGTAAAATACAGATTTTTCTCCACTTGCTCTCCCTGGATCCACTGCTTCCTAAAAAGAAAGGAGTACAGGACTCAAGGCTGATAGATCAATAAGAACAACTCAGAGAAGGGAAGAAGGTTAACAAATATTCCAACACCCAGGATGAGACATAAAAAAGTGATCGTCTTTATCAGTACCTGGGCTCTGAACCATGAAAACTTGCTTGCAGGCAAATCCAGGGCCAGCTGTAGCATCTGGTACTGAAGGACTGGGGCTACTTCCTCTCTCATGCCCTTCTCCGTCACGATACCTGGAAAGATTAGGAGGAAACACAGATGCTTCAAAGTCAGTCTTTGTTTCCCATCATTCCTCTACTTGCTCTGCAGGAAAGTCTTTCTACTATTTCTATCAAATAAAACGTAAAGCTGCCCTGCCAATTATCTAAAGCTCCTAGATCAATGGACTACGATGAGAAGAATATTGATCATTTGAGAGACCGTGTGGCCGACAGCAGAGTAGGGATGTGATGGTTTTGACCTGTGGGAGAGCACAGGAGGTGGAGGCTCAAGCCTGAGCCATGTCACTGGGTGAGTGTGAGTGGGATTCTCTGTCCAGCAGAGCACAACGGCGAAGGGAGGATTTTCTCAGACATTCCTGCTTTGTGTAGGCAAGCCTGGGAGTGATTTTAAAGAGAGCAGCCGCTCTATCAATCTGTACTCCCTTGTACGACTCCAGGGACAAAAATGTTCTGACAGACGAGTGTGGTGGTAGGGGGGGGGGGAGTCTGGGGCAGGCAAAAAACACAAAAATAACTGGTGAATTCATTTTAAAAAAGCTATTTCTTCACACTGACTGCATCTCTTTCTGTCACAGCATTTTAGTTTTTCCAGAACTGCAGACCTCCAAAACTGTTCTCATTTCATTCAGGCCACCCAGCAGCGTTAAAATCTCGGTTCAAACCAAACTCACCTTTTAAGAGTTTGCTAAAGTCGAAGGTGCTCTGACTGATCAGATGAGGCACGACCTTCTGATAAAGACAAATGACCTTGAGGATGACGGCTTTCAATATAGTGGTCTCTGGGTCATCAAAACCTACAAGGCAACACCCAAAAGTAAGGTTAAAAGTACTACTGCAGGAATCAGGAAAAGGAGGAGGTATCATAATTCAATTTCTGAGCCCCTGAGAAAACTACAAAACCAAGCACAAAAGCAGTGGCAGCCTCTTTTGGACTGCTGAGAGAGTTCTAATGGATTTTACGGTAAATCTGAAGGAAGACTAACAAATGTAAAGAGCTGTTTGTGTGTATAGCCAATAACCTAAAACAAATCATTGACATTATGTAATTCAAATGCATTTAACAAAATGTGACATGTTCTTTTAAATACAGCATACATTATCGCCAAGGGCTTTTTTATTCAGTATTAAGATTATTTTATCTATCAAATCTCCTTCAAGACATCAAAAAGCTTTTTGAAGAAATGTTGAGATCTATCAAAAACAGCTTCATACGACCTTATAGAGTGCTCAATGACAATCACACTGTTATAAGAATATTAAAGTTTCTGTTGTTACTGTACAACAATAATAATAAGATAATAACCAAGGGTTCACATATTTTTGTATTAGTTTAAGTGTGGCATCTTTCTTGTGGGCTCTTTGTGAACAGATGTGTTGAATGACAATATAACATATTATCACTAATTATTTCCACCTTCCAGATTTTCAGATTCCTTCTTTCTCTCATCTTTCAGGTCTCCCTCTTCCCCCTTTTCTTTCTTGGTAAGGGACTGCCATGTTGCCACAATGTTGGTCAAGTCTGGCAAAACCTAGAAGCAAAGAATTAAAAGTCTCAATGTTTTTGTGTGAGCACATCAAAACAAAAGAAGGACAAGTTGCCTGAATTTCAGTTTTGCTTGAGGTTAGTGGCACGTTTCCTTAAATTAAATTAAATTACATTTCCATAAATTAATGTCATGTAATTTCCATAACATTTTGTAAAAATCTAATTTCCATAAACTGTCTTTAGGCACCTAGTGGCACAGTTTTTATATAGCAAGTAGAAATGATATATTAACTGATCCACAATGATGTACAGATATGGCCAGTCTGCAGGTACAAAAGAAACTCTTGTCTTTATTCATTCAAAAAATAAGTTACGTTATACACTCAAGTGTTTAAGAAATTACATATTACCCAATTTAATTACCGTTTTTAAAACATACACCTTTCAGTAGTACCCCAATTAAAAAAAATAAGTAATTCATCCCTTTTCTAACCGCTTCTTCCAATACAAGGTTGCAGGGAAGCCACAACCTATCCCAACAAGCAACTGGTGCACCCTGGCTTGGCTGCCAGTCCATCACAGGGCATAATTCAAACAACAGACACACTCACTCACACCAGCTTCAGTTTTATCTGAAGCCAATTAACCTACCAGTATGGTTTTGGACTATAGGAGAAAACCAGAGCACCTGAAAAAAAACCTTCGCAAACACGTGGACAGCACACAAACTCCACACAGACAGGACACCAGGTCAGGAAAAGAACCCAGGGCCCCAACAATGCTATCCACTGCCTGACTGTGCTGCCCTAAGACTACACAATAAATTATCTAAAGCATACCTACAAATCAACAAACCCATTATGCGTGTATTTGGAAAGCATAGTAAAGCTATAAAAAAAAGAATTTTACTAAAAATACCCAAAGAACTTTCCCTTGTTTCAGAGGATCCTGCAGTGATTTTAAGTACCCCAGGAGTTCCCCATATGCCCCTTTTAGGAAAGCAGCTTCGGCCATGAAAACAATGAGAGAACCTGCAAAGATAGTTCATTCACCTTGCTGAGGGCTTCCCTGTACTGTTGAACAAAGTCCTCCATCATGCTGACAGAATAGACATCAGAGTTCTGCCACACTGTCTTAAGCTGACAGTACTCAATGTTCTTCAAGGCTCTTTTCAGGATGAAGGAGACTAGGGAGAGAGTGGTGTGCTTCACAGCGTTGTTACCCATCTATGAAAAAAACACGCACACTCCAGTTAACAAAGCCTCCTGAACTTATTCTGCAATGTAGGATGCCTAGCTTTCACTGTAAAAGTTTCCAAACAGTGGTGAAAATATCGTGCTTAAACAACAAGATTTATACAGTCACAACATAATAATATACAACCTCCATCAAGAAGCTTATTTTTGCTTATTATTTCTATATAGGTTATAAACAAGGGGAAGACATTATTTTTATACTTCTCTCAATTCATCATTATGTTACCTTTTAAAAAATATTTTTAAATGAATGAAATTCACAAACGTCAAAATGTTAAGGTATTGTCATCATGCACAAACTGTCAAGGTCTACCTAATTTTGAAATTGATAGGTGTTTAAAAGCGAAAAATGGCCATAAGAAGAACTTTTCTTATGTGAAATTAAGAACATACTGTCTTATACTATGTGAGATTTGGGCTTTTCTAGGAATTGGAATCATTCTGCAGAAAATAAATTCCTGGGGGCAGTGTCAGAGGGGCCGCCGGTTAAAGGGTAACTCACGTTAAGCCCCTGGGTGAAAAAGGCTTTGTTGCAGATGAAAGGGAGGGATGTCACCATCACCATGGACAGGAGACGAGGCAGAGGAATGAACTCCTCGTTAGAGAAAGCCCTGGACACCTCTGGCTGGGCCTCGTAAATCTAGGGTCACAGAAA